TATTAGGTATCGAAAGAGTTCGCGATAAAGATCTACAAGGATATGGTCACACTAAACATCATGGATTTAATTCTTTACGAGGCTCAACGACAAGGTCGAATAAGTTTCTACATGACGAATTATGGCGAAGAGGCTTACATTGGGAGTGCAGCCGGTTTGGATAGTCAAGATATGATTTTTGGTCAATATCGAGAAGCCGGAGTTCTTTTATATCGCGGATTCACTCTTGACGAATTCATGAATCAATGCTACAGCAACGAGAAAGATTTGGGTAAAGGCAGACAAATGCCCGTACATTACGGTTCTAAGAAATTGAATTTTCAAACAATTTCTTCACCACTCGCAACTCAAATTCCACAAGCATCTGGAGCTGCCTACGCGCTTAAGAGGGCAAACATAAAGAGTTGCGTGATGTGTTACTTCGGTGAAGGTGCTGCCAGCGAGGGGGATTTCCATGCTGCGTTGAACATGGCGGCGACCATGAGATGTCCGGTAATATTCTTTTGGTAGGATATCATTATAATTTGATTCCGGAGCCAATTCTCGAAAAAACTAATTTGGATTTCGGTTGTCCACAAAGTCGAAATAATGGATTTGCTATCTCCACTCCCGCGATGCAACAATATAGGGGAGATGGTATAGCGAGTAGAGGAATTGGGTATGGGATTGATACCATACGTGTTGATGGCAATGACGTATGGGCGGTATATAATGCTACTAAGACCGCACGGCAGTGGGCAGTTGAAGAACATCGTCCTGTTTTGATTGAAGCCTTGACCTATAGAATAGGTCATCACAGCACCTCGGATGATTCGTTCGCATACCGCTCCAAGGAGGAAGTTGAAGATTGGAAGCGTCATGATAACCCTATTGTGCGATTTCGCAAATGGCTAGAAGATAAGGTTGCCGTCCAGGTTAACTCTGAATTGCACTTTTTTGCAGAGATCATTCTTATTGAATTATATATTTATTTAGAATTGGTGGAACGAACAAGAAGAACAATCATACCGAACCTCTATCCGTAAAGAGATTATGTCTTCATTTTCCAAAGCCGAAAAAACCCAGAAACCTTCCATTTCCGATCTTTTCAACGATGTTTATGATCGCCAAACGCCAAACATCATTGCACAAAAACAAAAGCTGAAAAAACTTATCGAAAAATATCCAAATAATTATCCTCTTAAAATTTTTAAAAATGAGGGTAAAGACTTGTGAATTCATGTCCATTTTTTTTTTTCTTTTTCTTCACACCATCTAATTTTCGTAATTTAATGTCTCAAGAGATAGATCTATTAATTGGTTAGTAGTTATTTACTGTAAATTAGTATCTACTTAATTCACATATATGCTTAGAAGCATGAATGGTACAGATGAATTAGCCCAATTTATAATTTATTCCATTTGATCACACTTAAACTAATTTTTATTTTCAAACCAGGAAAAGTGAAATTAATCAATAAACGTGTATCTAGTTTAATCAATCTAATTCATTTTCACATTATACATAAATCAGCGGATGGGTCAATAAAGTGCTTCAGCCGGAGGAGAATGTGCCAAATAAAATATGAGTTT